TTGGATTTTTTTTCTGCACCCCCTCTCCCCCGTATCCTACGAAAGTTATTAATTGACTGTCTGCGTCAAATGGAGGCATGGGGTAACAAGAGAGCAGGGGAGAGTTTTCAGTTTTCAGCAGTATAGTATCCCATTTACCGTATATCTTAATGCCTTCTCGAGGTCAGCCATTGATTTTTCTCAAACCGCAAGCAATGACGATAGGATTAGGCCTTCGATCCCTGCACTGCCGCTGGAGCCGTTAGTGGATGAAATCACTTGGCTTGTGCCGACAGTCGGTGCATTGCTCTTTTTTAGCAGGTCATGGCCTCTGTGTTTATAGGGTACGTACACATACAACATATAGATACCCCCATAGTAGCCCCAGGGCCAGCAGAGAAAATAAAAAGTGTCTTTTCCTTAGCGGCAAAATCTTCCAAAGCATGTTCATTGACAAAAAGGTGAATAAAAGCTTTATATCAGAGCTATACACTGTTGCATAACACAGACTTTCTCTCATGTAAACCTATGCATTTTCTTGAGTTTGGACGCCTTTTCCAAAAGAAAGATATTAGCTTTGACACAGATGAGGGGAGCTTTGGCTTTGGCTTCCTTCCCCCTGGATATGGATTTGAATGATTATCTTTCAGTGCATCAGTTGGACAAGTAGTCATATTGCCATTCCGCAAGGAGATATTATTCTGGAGCGCGAGCCTAATAATATGATACGTCTAATAGCGCTTAACTCTTTGGATCTTCACCATGCAGTCATCTTGATTATTGCTGGGAGTCTCAAATAGCAACAGAGGGACATGGAGAGGGGAAAGGCAGAAGGGGAACGATGGGGAAGAAAAAGAAAAAGCGGTGGATCTCGGGTGGCTTTGAGAGGTTATTGAGGAACATCCACCACAGTGCGTGCAGAGGAGTTTAATATTTCTTCGCTCACTGGTTTGGCAGCTAAAAAGATTGGAAATGACACTAAGTATTTCTCAAGCTTACATAGGTGATATGGAAGCACACAATCACTGACGCACAGGCATAAAGGGCACGTATATCATTCGAAAATCCTGTGCACACACAAGTGGATAAGTAAATGAATTCCGCAAAGGTCATTTTTGACAGCAGTAAACAACCATCCTACCACAGGCTCTGCTTCTGATTCACAAATACAAAACATTTTGATTTGCTCTTGAAATTTTTGTTTGTTTGTTTGATTAACTTTTCTTTTCAAACTCAAAAACAAACGTCAAGCTGGCACAGGAAGATTGTATCTATGAAGTAAAACTAAACATTTGTGAAATTATGGTTTGCTGTGGTGATAGTAAATGCCGCCAGAACGGAAAGGAAAGTATAAAGTATTATAAGTTTTTGGTAAAAGCCATACTTCTTTGATTCAATCCGTACTGTGCCAGTTACAATGCAAAACAAAGACAGAGAATGATTTGAGACCTCCTGTGCCTTCCAAGACAAAATTATCTTTACATGCTGTAAGATTTATGAATTTGTTCTTGGTTTTGAAAGCAATTGAGATGACTCAATCATTTCTTTCCAGGCAAATTAAACTGTTTCCTCTGTGAACCCTGGTAATCAGCTTAAGTGATTACATCGGTCGTAAATATGAGATGATGAAAGCTCAGTGTTCAGAGTGCGTTGTTCCTCAAGGCAAGGCTAAACTGGAGTTCTTGGGTAGATATGATAGACCATCTCACTAAGACTGTATCAGATGCTGGGGGAAGGGGCTTATGTGGGGATTGGTTGCCCTCTAGCTGTCAGCATTGAGATTAGGTTATGAAATATGTCCTGATATTGTTGTGTTTATGTAGTGTCATGAGTAAGTTTGGGGAGTTCGAGCTGAAGCTTGAAAAATGTTGACAATGCTGGTACTGAGAGGTCTGATTGGAAGTGTTCAGTTTCTGCAGGGAAACTGGTGGTTCAACTTATCAATATCTATATAACAAACAAAACACATCTTCCATAATGGGTAAGGGTTTCTGTGCAGCAGAGTTATAGTATGGAGTGGATATATCAGTATACTGGACATTGTAAGAGCATGTACAGTATCCTTACAATATCCAAAATCTGGTGATTTATAAGGGTACAATTCAAAAGTTACGCCTGGAAAGCATCAGGCATCAGCTGGGTGTATTTGGTTCCTGCTGTAAAGACTTCCATAACTTTTTCTTGAGGAAGAATGTTTTGTGTATCCGATGTGTAGCATGATAATTCGACTTGTCTGCTGCCTTGACAGCTGTCATGAACTTGCAACATTGGAATGAGAAAAAAAGCCTGACAACTGCCCTACAAAGACTGAGAGCAACGGAAGCAGTGGAGTTGAGAAAAAGTGCTTCACGTTTTCAGGCTGGCTGGCAACCTGTATAACCGATAAAAAGTTTGCAATGCCTTCATTTTGTGGCATCCCCCCCCCCCCCCCCCCCCAAAAAAAAATTATTAGTGTAGAACCCACAGTAATATAGAAAGTACAGATATTGCATTCTGCCTTTAAGATTCTACTATCTTTCTGCTTTCTTGGCCACTTTAACTAGTTTGATTATACTGTCCATCGATAATATTGGTTAGATGTGGCTCTGTTTTGCTAGGTGTCAGTCTGCCCAACTTATATTTTATATTGAAATCAATATGATATGATTCATTTGCAATTTAGCTCATTTGAACATTTGATTTAAAGGTATCTTAACTACACCAGATCACACAAGTTGTAGTGTGTGCAGCTTCTAGAGTTTAAGCTCAGTTATACAATAACTGTAAAGCTGTTGTGTAAAAGAAAAAAAAAGTCAGATTTAAGTCTTAACTCAATTCTGACCAAATATGTTAGTAGCAGTTGCTGCATTTTGCCTTTGTAGGGCAGACAAATCCTGGGCTTTGTCCTGTTATAACATTTTCGTCTCACATGCATGTTATGGATTTTTATAGTTAGAGTTAAAGGAAGGATGGAAAATGAAAGGTATAGGAAGGAAGGGTTGAAGTAATATTACTGGCACGAGTTTGATCACAATGCTTTAAAAAGTTGTCTTATCAATGTATGACCAAACTCAGTAGCTCCGTCTGCATGTGCAGCTGCTTGTTTCTTTCCTGCCGTTCTGTGTAAGCATGTGTTGTGAGTGCTGTTACAGAGAGCTCTTTGGATTACAGATCTCCTGCCCAGTCCTGAGCTAGCCAGGAAAACTACTTTCTAACTTAACTCTCACATATGTATTTGTGTTTTAAGCAATTGCTGTAAATGCAGGTCTTTTCAGTTTAAATGCAGTCTTGCATCCAAGGAATGGCTCACGAAGGCTTTTCCCGTTACAGATGGAGTTTAATGCTGCACCGGGTACTTTATTGCCATCAAATGTAATTCATCTTGAGTTGATTGCACTGAAAGTCGTGTTTATCAGGCACCTAGCAACATTGTTTTGAATGAAAATTACCTCTTTAAAGAGCAATTAGGAAAACGAACCTATAGGCCAAATGCCTTTCAGCCCCAGCTTTACTTTAACAAACATTATAATACCCCAAGTCATGCAACAAATCTAAAGTGGCATCAGCTAAGCAAGTGTACAAAGTCCTCTGGTAATATTTTTCAATTAAAGGGCATTAGAGTTTGATGGAGGAGACGTGAAAGTTGTTTTCAAAGGGTGACTTTAACTAGGAGCTGTGTGCGAGAAACTTTATTGCCATGGCTCAGATTGGCAATGTGACTCAAAAGATTAGATTAATTGCAGGAAATAGCTCTGAGAAAGTTTGATGTTTGCATGCATCTGTATTATTCATTGGGAGACCCTATTAGCAGAGCAATATCTTGCTTTATCATGCGTGTCGGCTTAAACGATTTTCAAATCTACCTCACAGTGTAGGCCTAAGAATGGGAAATAGATCTTTTGTAGGGGATGCTTAAAAGACCACCGCAGTGCTAGCACATATGAGAAGGCAATTAGAGATAATGCCACATTTTACACACTGTTACCTATTTTTTGGGAGAGACAAGTGCAGTAATAAGACCCAGAAGCAGGCCTGAGCTAGAGACTTGTTTTTCTGTAGCGTTTTCCTTTGCTTCCCCCCTCAGCGAACCATAGCGTGGCTTGTTTCTTTGTGTTCTAGATCAGGATCCAGATAGCGTCTCATCATCCAAGCCTTACTCCACTTTTCCCCCCATTAGATTTTCTTTTCCCTTAAATTCCCTCACACTCACTCCCCCTCACACACATACATCTCGCACACACACCTCGTTATCTTATTTGTGGCCTTGGCAGCCAGATTATTGCCTTGTGGTTCGGTAGCCAGAGTTTTCTCTGTCACAAAGAGCCGTGGGTCCAGAACCTCCACCACACAAGCATCCATGAGAGCAGGAAGTCAGTTCCCAGCATGCCTTGCCCGTCCCAGTGAAACCTGTGATGGATTAACCTTGGGCTGGGGGACCTTTCCAACTTGGAAAGAGAGTTATGCAACATCCCATACTTATCTGCCCTCTCTAATGCAGTGACAGTGAAAAGTGTTGGGCTGAAGAGAGTTTAAAACTGAAGTTCAGTCTTGAGGATTGGAGCAAATGAATACGTGATCTTCTCTCATATAATGTTCACTTCTGCATCTAATGCGGCCTTTTTTTTAAAAAAAATCCTTAAAAGCCATCAATACTCAAAGCACACTTTGATAAGAATCAACATCCGTCAACTTTTTCAGAGCTTCCCAACTCTTGGACAGTGTAATGAAATCCAAGCTCAAGTCCCAGATCCTGAATACAACATAAGCAGGTTGAGTTCATGTAATCCATTCCACAGAAGTCTGTTGTATGACTGTGCTTTTACTTACTGCTGTTTTACAGTAAAGTCAATAGAAGTAGAGCTCGCAGGTCATTAATCTGTTCCTTGAAAAGCAACGCTTTGCCTGCATCAATATGTTCTATCCTATCATCCTATAACATAAAGTAACACTGAAAAACAATTGCGAATTGAGTCATTAGTACTACAGCATTGCCTGTGGGTACTACCGACAAAAGGGTAAACCATTTCTCTCTTTCTTCCCAGGTGGCTCAGGGAAGCCCCGATCCAAAGAACCAAAGAAGAAGAACAAGCAGAGGCTGCGGTTTCGGGCCCAGAACCAGCACAGCGACCACTTGGCCTCTGCACGCACCAGCCAGTGAGGACTGAAACTACGGACTTCCCATTGAACAAAGAACCAACGCAAAGCTGCTAGCCGCTGCTGCACCCACATTCTGACCAACGACTATCACGAACCCCGCCACCTCCCCACCTGCCTCCCAGCCCACCCCCACCTCCCCGCTGCCCAACAGGACACAGCCATTACAAGTCTGTCACTACAAAAATATATGTCTAACATACGATATCAGTATCAACACACTAAACACATGCTTCATGCCCCTGCCTCTTGCTGCTTCTCCCCCCTGCTCCAGTGACCAGCCAGGTGACTCTGTTTTCTCAGCCCCACCCCTCGCCTTGCCTTGGCTTGTGGACCTTTACAGTTGAACTCATTTCCCGCCATTAACAATGTCATTAACCATGCAGGGTGATGGAAGACGGAGGGGCAACCAGAGACTGTGGAGGCGGATAGGAGAGGTGATGAGGGAGTTGGCAAGCTTAACTGCCCCACAGAAGTGGGGGGTGGGGTGGGGTGGCAGGGTGAAACCTATGAGGATGAAAAAAAAGATGGAGGATTAAGAGACAAAAGAGATTCGGCTAAAGCAGTTGATGCTTATGGACAAGAAAATGGCATCTTGAACTGAAAGAGACTGTTTTTTTGTTCCTATATTTATGTCAAAACTACCCTCACCTTCCCCACGGATACGTGTTCCCATGTGTGGCCTTTATGTTATGTACATTTTTGAGAGTAATATTAATGAAATTACCGTGCATAGTTGCAAAGTATTTTATTCTCAGCACAAACTGTTTACGTTCAGACCGCTTTATGCTCTAACTGTATAGTGTGGATAAAAAAAGAAGAAATTTAGTTGTTTGACTAGCATGGCAACAGGCTCATGTGTACATAGTTTATCTAATTATGAAAGCTTATTACTGTATTTTCAGTATTGACTCGTTCACCGTTCTAAATGTTTTAGAGATAAAAAGGTTGTAATACCAAGCTACAGATTAAAATAATTAAAAACAAATAATAAACATAGCCGCCACATAGCTATTTCATTTATATGGTATATATTTGATTTATTTATTAATTCTATTTTGTACTTTTTTTGTTCAGTGCGATTTTTTGCCTCATACTGTTACTCTTATATGCTGAAATATTCTTTGAGTTCCTTATAACAGTGCATATCTTTAACAAGTGGAAAAGGTTTTTGTCTGTTGTCACGCAGTGTTGTATTACATTCATTTGACCTCATCTACTGATTTCAATGTTTTAAAGAAGAAGAAAAAAAGATACATCAAACTTTGCTTTGACATATTCTAGGTTTAATAATTAGGATCAAGCAAATGTATGGTCATAGGACTGCATATGTGTACATTGTGTTTTATTAAAATACATTTCATGTGACTGTATGACGAAGCCTTTCATTATTGTCTATGGCTATAATATATGTGGCTAAACTCCAAAACTGCCGTTTCCGTGTTTCACTTCAGTGCACAATTATGTGATTTCAAAAACATTTGCGAAATCCATCATGTCGCACTGCATGACACAAGTGCTACCTCCATCCAAAGGATTGGATATGGTCGATTGGGCTTTAACAGCATGACGGCACTGTTAACGGTTTGTAATTCACTATGACGTATCCTCGTAAATGATACAAAACCAGTGCATGTCGTTGGTGGCTCATTCATTTCCAACATCATACTACTAATGACCTAAAAACATGTATTTGGCTGTGGCACTCATCTTTTCATCACGCACACACATTCAATCACCTCTTTATGTGATGCATGCCCCACTTATTCACTTTTATGGTCCTCAAAACATCAAATAAACACAAATAAAAGTCTTCTCTAGGCTAACTCTGCCTGGTATATGGGCAATGAGAAAAATGTTTTAATGCAAGTCATGGCTAATTTAGCCGGAGATCCACACTGTATAATCTTTGTCCCAAAAGCGAAAAAAAGCTGAATCTGCCAGACAGCTTATGGATGCACAGTAGCAGATGAATCACATTGTGTCACATATATATCACCCTGGGAGACACAGACCACAGTCTTCCTGCTCTGGTTAACCTCCTTGAAATCACACATAATATTTCCATAGGGAGGCTGTCAGTGTTGAAATACCCCACTCTTTATATGCTCCATGTCCATCATGAGGCCTAATACATAGCAGTTTTAAGTGCCTGAACATCTTTCACAGGTGTTGCACAGCATAGTTCACACAAGGGGCTATTCATTTTCACAGCTTAACACTTCTGCCATGTGAAATCTGCGCTATGGAGCCCCGAAACTGACAAAATTGAGTAAAAGGTCACTGGACAAAGACGAGAAAAAAAATATTACTTAAATCACCGTAAAACTAATAAAATCAAGCCACATATCTAAAGCTAACTTTCATCGTTACACCAGCAGTGCATGAAAACATAATTATCCATATACTGCTGTATTAACTAGAGAGGACTAAGAGGCATTCAATCATACCTACAAAATGTCAAGGATGACTCAATCAAGTTCTCCACTTCCATTGTGGATCTTGATGAAGACAAGAGTGACATGCACTTCAAGATGAAGATAATGTTATAAAGACAGAAGCATGGTGTGTGTGAACTTACAAGTAGTGGTAGGTAACTTTTTGTTGCGTTAGCATGCCAGCTAAAATGCTTGCTGACGATTTCCTGATAGTTTTATAATGAAGATTGCAAGCTCAGTGCGTAGCAATGTTTTCAGTTAAGATAGCTAGCCGCTTAGTCCTCTCAATTGCTCCACTGATGTTAAATCAATGGCTAAAACACGCAGACAGACAGACACACACACACACACACACAACACACACTGGACCAATTACTGCACATACACGAACACAACCATCTCATATGCATAAGAATGTGTGGGGAAATAGATGATGTCTAGACCAAAATAATTGGAGCTGAAAAAATAGAATAGAAAAGTAAACAGATCATTTTATTTAATCAACCAAGTGAAAAAGGTTTTGCTTGTTTTCAGTTATATTTTTTACTTACCTGATAACCACATACTGGTTACATCCATATCATTCTACATTATTGTTAAACTTTGCATCTTCTTTTTAGCCAGTTGGCTCCAGCAGTGAATGAAGCAAAGCAAAAACTGACTGTTGCAGGGACTGAAACAAGGCGTAGATGTAGCAAGTTGTTTTTAAAGACATCTGCTGCTGGTTAAAAGTTAATGAACGATTTACAGATGTCATCCCCTGGGCCAGACTATCACTGCTCCAGACTGGGGGATTAAACCTAAAGGCTTATGGAGAGGAACTTCACTGAAGTGGATTCATTAAGCACAAGACCACCACTACAGCACACATTGCAGCGCTCGCAATGGAAAAAAGGGGGTACAAGGAGAATCACATCGGACACTTTGGAGGAATCTGGAGTTTCCCCTCACCTTTCCCCTTTGACATCAGTCCACTTGTTGTTTTTTCAACTGCTGTGAGAAACAGGACACTGATGGTATTCGCAGTGTTGTTAAGAGGGTTAGCAGTCTTCCACACATCAGAAGAATTTTTCCTCCCTGCGTAAACCACTTCTGTAAACTGTGTGTATATGTACACGCAGGCCTCTGTGTGTGTTTTAATGTTTGTGCTGAATGTGGTTAGGCGGCTGAGACTGAAGCTCCCTTTTAATCTGACAGAGAGCATTTTCATTAGTTCTGTTGGGTCCTATTATTAAAGCCTGCTTCAAAGGCACAACAAGTGAAACCACTAACAGGAAATGACCGAGTGGGCTCTACACTGTATAGATCAGTGATAGCAATCTGTGCTTCTAAAGCAGGTTGTTATGGCATGTAAATGCTTCTATTGTACACACTGTATGCACCTCACAAGACAGTGAGAGAGGATAATGGGAGGGGTCCAGGGACCTCTGCTCTACATTCATAGAAATTACATTCAGCCCACTGTGAGTGTGCAGTTGTGGCAATTGTGACACATTCGTTCCAATGCAGATGGCAGAAATGGAAGTTATGACATTGGTGTGGCGAATAAGATTGCCCGGGATAATAAATGTTGTAATAATTTGCTGTTTTTAATAACTGTATAATGAGCCAATGCTTGCCCTTCGAGTTGAAGGAAATCTGGAATCATTAATCTTCATGTGGGTTAGCCATGGCGTTTGGCACGGGCCGAAACAGCAATGACTAGGAACATAGTGGTGTCAAAGGACAAGCAGATCTTAATATTTTGAACACATTTGCCATATGTTAGCCATCATGGTGTGTACAAGCCCGCTAAATGGTGGCATTAATGGGTGACTTTTATTACTAAACTCGCTCCTAATTCAAATAATGCAATCCCAAGTCAGCCCTCAATGCAAATTTTGGCTTCACTCGGAGTTGCTAGGGAACAAGTTAATCCCAAAAATAAATATGTTCTTCAATAAAAGCTAATTGTCTGTGACAGTCATTTGCTTTGCTGCAGAGACGTTTGAAACAGGAAATTGGAAAAAAGATTGTGAGCTGTACTGGAAGTACATAAGGATCACGGTAATTAATCCCCTCCACGTCTGCCTCATCTGCTGGACAGGAAGTGGAAAAGAGTCATGTTGTTAATGCTCACCTTGAGCATTAATATCACCATGCTGTGATTTTTTTTCATTCTTAGATGACAAATGGGGGAATATTTATGAGTCACTTGCAGTGGTAGTGTTTCTCTGGTTAGGCTTCATAACAGCAGGTGCAGTGGGGGACATAGGATTTTTTTTATCACCGTCCATTACGTGGAACAGACAGGCATTTCTATACCGACCCGGTGCGGTGTTTCCTATGGGTGCTATAAGTATTTTTTGGCTTATTTAACCTCTGAAATGCCTGGCTTTTTATTTTACATTGGGATCCAAACACAACACAAAGCCATTGTCCCTGTTCACTTGAGGAATATAGGCAGAGAAGCCCTGTCCTCCCTCTCAGGATGTGAGACGCAAGGGCTTTATGACTTGAACTGAATCATACTGCTCACCTTAAACACATTACAGGCCGGGCAAATATTTCCTCTTACTGGTGCTCTGAGAGCTATGGGCACAACTATTATATTGGGCTCAAGTGCCAGCTGGTGAGGACAAATCCGCAAGGATTCCTATTTTCCCCCTCCTGACTCTCTGGCAGCCCTACTCCATTCATTCAATTTTTATATGTGCCTAGTAGCTGTGTTACTACCGGTTTCAAGGGAGAATTAATCGGAAACAGGTCTTATTAAAGTATATTAAGACCAGTTGAATTGGATATAATGTGCTCAGTAAGGGCCCAGAAGGGTTGTATCTGAGCCATAGCTGACACTTGTGGCTTCTAGGAGCGGGGCTGTGTTATTCTGGAGTGGCACTGCACATGTTCCAGGGGAGCTATTCACTTGAGCCAAGTGTTGCATTGTGGGTAAGCAGATTTTAAGTGGGTATGAGTACAGCAGGGGGTAAAGGAGAGTCTCATTGTCCAGGAATGTTTATCTTGCCACCCGCCTTCATTCAGGGCCGGATTATGCAGCACCATGGTTCAGAAGCAACCTTTGCCCCCACTTGGAGGGTCTGTGGAGGAAATGTTCATTCATACATATACACATGTACAAAACTCACAGGCATTATCCTCCTAATAAGAAGCCAGGTTGATTGCTCCCTCAAGGTATGGCGAGTAGGCAGAAGTGGAGCTGCAGCAGCAGGGTGTACCTCGGTCTCACTTGCTGGGCTGGGCTCTCTGGGAAGGCTGGAGCCAGTGATGCTCCCAGTATGTGCAGCACAGTCATCATCCTCAGCACAGCACATTTTATTGGGCAGTGTGCGGGTTGTAGTAACGTGTTTAATCAACTCAGCTTTAGAGGAGGTCTTGACCTCATGTCAGTGGTTCCCAGCCTTGATTGTGTGTGTCTGTGTGTATGTGTACGTGTGTGAGCATGAACGCCTCCCTCCCAGCCTTTGCTGTGGAGTGTGACCTGCGGTGGAGCCTCTGGTTCACACTCCGCTCTCTGCTGTTGCTGGTTTAAAGTGATTAACTGTAGAAAGTGATGACTAATCTGTCGGTTAAGAGTCTGAAACAATTGCAGTCAAATGAAATATTACAGGCGATATTATATGTAATGTGGCCCTCTGGATCCAATCAAGGGGAACATTAATAGACAGCAATTCCAAAGTTGAACTGCATAGTGTTAGCTATCATTTAAAAATGTATTACTCACAAGTCATCATCCCCTATAGAGAAATTAGTCTGTAAAACCTTTTGTATTTTGCCAACCACTGATTAACATTTACTAATGTTTCGATTGGAAATACCACAAATTATATTGTTATTTTCACAGAATGACAATGTTTGATTCCATCATTTATTTTTAGCCGTGCTGGCAGGGTGGCTCTGTTTTCCGTGTCAGTCGGCCCACTGCTTTGGCCCAAACT